TGTAGGGGGGGGGGGGGGGTAATTACTAAAAAAGAAGGAACAAATTTCTTCTGTGAAATCCATGGAGGGCGAAAAGGGGGTTGTTAACTTTTCTTTAACTAGCCTTAGGGCGCAATTTATAATTGATGCTTAATCTTTCAGCATTTTCTCTTCGAGGAAGCAATAGTAAAAGTTTTTGCGGATTATGCAATTTTTGTTTTCGTGGATTTTCAAAATTTTACAAAATCTAAAAATTTGAGACAACCCTCAAATATTGACACACCTTTCAATGTTTTATGAGTGATAAGCATCTAGCTGAATATTAAAAATCTCACAGTGATCTAGATGTATTAGTTCAATAATCGACTTTTGAACATGATTGAGTCAATTAATTTTTTGATGTTTCGTAACTGTAGGTATCCACGCAAATAAGCTTTGTTTTATATGCTTTTAATAAAAACAACGAGACTAAGTTTATTACGATACTGCTCGTTCAGCTCCAAATAGTTTTGCGCAATTCTGAATCTAACGAAGACGACATTGTCTGCTTATTCTAATTCTAATTTTTACTATTTTGCTATAGAATTTATTGGTTTTTAACTAAACAGTTTCGGGGTTCTTTAAACAACTCATTAATTGAACCACCTATAGGACGCTAAGTATTACCCGGAGCAACTTGTTTTAATCAGGATTGCCCTGAGACACATTGAGGAAGAAAACAGTGTTACTTCGCTCTAATCAACCAGGGTGCAATAGAATACAGGATACAAGTCTTTATAAATAAAGACTAAAGACGACATTTTTAGCTAAATCACGTACAATAAAATGACCATGACAATTAAGGGAGTTGTGTATTACTTCACGAAAAGTTTTAATCAGAGAAAAATTTCCAAATATTCTTAATTCTGAGCTTTTAAAATTGTAAACGTTTCTTTATATCTTTAAAAGAACTAAATACATATGATTGCAAATTTCAGTTGAATAAAAAAATAAGATATAAAAGCTATATCTATCTATCTATCTATTTGAGCCTATAATTCTATTACAAATTATTGCGTTTTGTCGTATGCAGAGGGAAAATAGTATAAATAGTTTCCTTAGACAATTAAATCAAGATAGATTACTTATAAAATACTGTTCATTTGACGTACCAGAGTAATTTTTACAGTATGCATACAGACTGTAGACGACTTTAAAGAAGAGTCCCCCCCCCCCATATTTCAATAATAATTTTAATTAAGAGTTGAATGTCAGATTTACCCCCCCCATATTTCAATAATAATTTTAATTAAGAGTTGAATGTCAGATTTAAGAGTTGCATGTCAGATTTAAGAGTTGCGTGTCAGATTTAAGAGTTGCATGTCAGATTTAAGAGTTGCATGTCAGATTTAAGAGTTGAATATCAGATTTAAGAGTTGCATGTCAGAAAGAGTTGCATGTCAGATTTAATAGTTGCATGTCAGATTTAAGTTTTGCATGTCAGATTTAAGAGTGGAATGTCAGATTTAAGAGTTCCATGTCCGATTTAAGAGTTGCATGTCAGATTTAAGAGTTGAATGTCAGATTTAAGAGTTGCATGTCAGATTTAAGACTTGCATGTCAGATTTTTAAGAGTTGAATGTCAGATTTAAGAGTTATATGTCAGATTTAAGAGTTGCATGTCAGATTTAAGAGTAGCATGTCAGAATTAAGTTTTGCATATCAGATTTAAGAGTTGCAGGTCAGAGTTAAGAGTTGCTTGTCAGATTTAGAGTTGAATGTCAGATTTAAGAGTTTCATGTCAGATTTAAGATTTGCATGTCAGATTTAAGTTTTGCATGTCAGATTTAAGAGTTGCATGTCAGAGTTAAGAGTTGCATGTCAGATTTAAGAGTTGAATGTCAGATTTAAGAGTTGCATGTCAGATTTAAGAGTTGAATATCAGATTTAAGAGTTGCATGTCAGATTTAAGAGTTGAATATCAGATTTAAGAGTTGAATGTTCGATAAACAACAGAAACCCTGACGCCTTTATCTAAGATATCGTCGTTTTTTCATAAATTGTTCCTTACAGTAGAGAATTTTCAGATTGAAAAACAAGGATATCCTTGTTGTTTTGCTATAAGGAAAGTTAAACGTTTACCAGTGTAATTCGGGCAAGTACTCTTTAAGTGGAGGGTCACTTGAAATTAGATCCACAGTCCCTTTAAGTAAGGAGCCATTTTCTTTCTCCCCATTTTCCCACTCTTAATTTAATAAGAGCCATTTTTTCACTCTTAATTCAATAAGAGCCATTTTTTCACTCTTAATTTAATAAGAGCCATTTTTTCACTCTTAATTTAATAAGAGCCATTTTTTCACTCTAAATTTAATAAGAGCCATTTTCTCACTCCTAATTTGATAGCAGCCATTTTCTCACTACTAATTTAATAAGAGCCATTTTCCCACTCCTAATTTAATAAGAGCCATTTTCTCACTACTAATTTAATAAGAGCCATTTTCTCACTCCTAATTTAATAAGAGCCCTTTTCTCACTTCTAATTTAATAAGAGCCATTATTTCACTCCTAATTTAATAAGAGCCATTTTTTCACTCTTAATTGAATAAAATCCATTTTTTCACTCTAAATTTAATTAGAGCCATTTTCTCACTCCTAATTTAATAAGAGCCCTTTCCTCACTTCTAATTTAATAAGAGCCATTTTTTCACTTCTAATTTAATAAGAGCCATTTTCCCACTCCTAATTTAATAAGAGCCATTTTCTCACTACTAATTTAATAGGAGCCATTTTCTCACTCCTAATTTAATAAGAGCCATTTTCTCACTCCTAATTTAATAAGAGCCATTTTCTCACTCCTAATTTAATAAGAGCCATTTTCTCACTCTTAATTTAATAAGAGCCATTTTCTGACTCCTAATTTAATAGCAGCCATTTTCTCACTCCTAATTTAATAATAGCATCTACCTTTGTTCCATGAATTCAATTCTTCTCATTTTCCTCGCTGCGTTGTTTTTATCTATTTTTTTAAAGCCCATCATTCATGTGGCCTTTCTTAACACATCGACCCCCCCCCCTCTCCCTTTTATGGGTTGAGCTAGTTTCATTTTATGTCCCGGTTTGAAAAGATGCAGACATATATTACTCGTGCACAGATCTGCGCAATATTTTAGTTGTAAATCTGACAATGGGATGATTCATATCTATGCTATCAAACTCATTTAAAACATGCATATAATCAATCTTGCACAATAATGAAACTTTATCTAGGTTCAACAGTGTGTCCCAATTACTGTAAACTGCTAAGAAAACTAACAGTGTGTTCCAATTACTGTGAACTGCAAAGGAAACCAACAGTGTGTCCCAGTCATATTAAACTGCATAAGAAATTAACATTGTGTCCCAATTACTGTAAACTGCTCAGGAAAACCAACAGTATGTCCCAACAAAAGTACACTGAACCGGAAAACCAGCAGTGTGTCCCAATTACTGTTAACAGCACAGGAAAACCATCACTGTCTCCCAATTAATGTAAATTGTGTCCCAATCACTATGAACTGCACAGGAAAACTAACAGCGTGCCCCAATCAATGTAAACTGCACAGAAAAACTCACAGAGTGTCACATTTGCTGCAATCCCCACAGAAAATCCAACAGTGAGTTCCAATAAAATTGTTTGTCCCAATCAAAGAACACTGCACCGGAAAACTAACAGTGTGTCCCAACTACTGCAAACTGCACAGGAAAACCAACAGTGTGTCCCAACTACTGTAAACTCCACAGGAAAACCAACAGTGTGTTCCAATCACTGTAAACCGCACATGAAAACCAACAATGTGTCCCAATTACTGTCGACTGCACAGGAAAACCAACACTGTGTCCCAATTACTGTAAACTACACATGAAAACCAACAATTTGTCCCAATTACTGTAAACTGCACAGGAAAACCAACAGTGTGTTCTAATCACTGTAGACTGCACAGGAAAACCAACAGTGTGTCCCAAACACTGTAAACTGCACCGGAAACCCAACAGTGTGTCCCAACCACTGTTAACTCCTTATTTTTAATCAGACAACATATTTCTAAATGTCGTATTTATTTACATGTTTTAATTGAACAACAGTCAGCACTGAGGCCGTTCCTTCTATCACCTACATTGGTCGACAACTTGACGTCTCCTATTACTGATAGGAAGCAAACTTTGGGTCACTGTGTTACAATATGAATGTTTTTAGAATTATAAAAAAATATCAATTGTGAAATAATAAAATAGAAATTGATTCTGAAAGCTGCCAATATAATAAGTTTTTTTAAAATATATTATAATAATGTTGGAGCACCTCACGTGTATTAGAAACCCTTAAGACGTTTTACGGTCTTTTATATTATATTTTATAAAGAAAAATATAAAGAGATATTTAGTTATATGATGTACTTTCAAGAGACCCTCCAAGCAAAGATGGCAATGCCAATCCACAACAGCACACTTGAAACCTTTATCTGGTCAAAATTGTAGAAAATGATTTTTCTTTCATTCTGGTTTAAAAGTGTTTAACTTGCATAATTTCTATCTATTTTCCTGCTGTAGAAATGCGCAAATTACTTTTGTAGATTAAACGCAAATAAAAATAACCAGTTCTACAAAATATAAACTTATCTAATAAATACTGGAACTGACAAAGCTTTGATGGGAACTGTTTTTTAATCGGACATTGTCATCTTTGCATGGAGGGTCACTAGAAATTACGCTTACAATCCCTTTAATAGAAAAACCCTTACCTTGAGAAAGCAGTTGGTCCGTAGTGCATGATACTGGTGTAATCATAACTCTGGTTAAACAAATCTCCTCTGTATCTTCACAAATAAGTTTAATATTAAAAAAGATTCTAAAACTAAAATCAAATTTAATTGAAATGATGGGTCTATCCTAGAAAACGATTTTTATGGGGGGGGTCCAAAAATCGCTCTCTAGGAAATTACCTAAATTATGTGAAGTGCAGGTTGGCGATTATTATGCAATGAAGCCGACTTTTCTATTTAAGTTTTGATTTAATTCTAACAAACTTTTTTCAATTTACAAGTTTACCAGAAAACAAGAGAAGCTGACAGCTGACAGCTCCTCTTTGTTTCCATGTTTATGTGCATCCATGTTGTTTAAAAGCTTGGTAGAAATCTATGTAGAAATTGAAAGTCGTCTTCACTGTGTTGATATGTAAGACGAACAATGTACATAAAAACTTTTATCTACAACTAAAGTAAAAATTGTGTCTCATTAAAAATTCACAAAATGGATAAATTAAGATTTTTTCTGGCAATTTCTATATGTATACATTTGTTTACTTCAAAGTTGTGTCAACCTAATTTGCCAACTAATTTATTTCTTACTTCTTTCTTATTTCTTCTTCTTTCTTACTAATTGTTCTTAAAGGGAGTGGCCGGCTATGTAAGGTAGTTGAACTGAGTATGCCTAGTGTTGTCGAAAACTTCTTTAGGATTCATTTGAGACATATTTCACTTTTTAAAGATCTGTAAATCCTGAGTTTGAGCGCAAATTCGACGCTCAAAACTCCTGATTTGGGGGTGGATACGCTTTCAGAATTAGTTTTTTTTTAATTATTAAATAACGACAACGAAAAAGAAAGTAAAAATTATAGAGTAATCTAATTAGATGGCTAGGAACATATTTCATTAAAGAAATTTGTCAATAAATCAATGCTAAAATCGATTATTTCGTTTTCATTATTTTTATTGAATTTCTAATTTTCTTTGAATTTATTCGCAGATTTCTTGAAATTCTTTAAATGTCGTCTTTTCAATAGTAATTATAGAAAATCTGCGAACATCTTGGTGAATAACGAGAAACTAGAATAATGAGATAATAGAAACTAATAATTGAACAAGATTACTTATTTTCGATGATAAGATTAATTTTTATTTTCTCAAAATGTTCCTAAACATGGCGTCTGTAGTTTATTGTAGAATATTTTTACACATTATGTCGTCGTTAATTAATAATTTTAAAAAAACTAATTCTGAAAGCTTATCCACCCCCAAATCAGGAGTTTTGAACGTCGAATTTGCGCTCAAACTCAGGATTTATAGATCTTTAAAAAAGTGAAATATGTCTCAAATGAATCCTAAAGAAGTTTTCCACAACACTGCGTCCTCAGTTCAACAACCTTACATAGCCGGTCACTCCCTTTAAAAGTGCTGTTGTACTATCAAGAATGAAAAAATTTCAACTTAAATGGAAAAGGTGATTTTAAAAAGATTACAAACTGATAAGGTTTAAATACACAAATGATATATGAATATTGTATACTGTATATGTATGTAGATTAAAGATACTACAGTATTTAACGAGTGGTAAATTCGGAATCCGGATGAAAGGGTACCTATATTGAGATCCGGATTTAAGGAGTAGTAAATACGGATTTCAGCTGAAAGGGTACGGGTATTAAGATCCGGATTTAAGGAGTAGTAAACATGGAATCTGGATGACAGAGTACGTATTAAGACCTGGAATTAAGGAGTAGTAAATTCGGAATCCGGATAAAAGGGTACCTATATTGAGATTCGGATTTAAGGAGTAGTAAATATACGGATTCCAGCTGAAAGGGTACCTATATTGAGATCCGGATTTAAGGAGTAGTAAATACGGAATCCGGGTGAAAGGGTACGTATTTTGAGAATCGGATTTAAGGAGTAGTAAATACGGAATCCGGATGACAGGGTACGTATATTGAGATCCGGTAATAAAAAGTTATATTTAAATCAGGGGTAATTAATATTATCAATTCCACAGTCCACACTCCTCTATGTGTTTATTAGTGGTTTTGTATAATAACACAACATTTAGAAAAGTAGATTTTTTCGTAAGTTGTATATAATCGATTTTTTTAAATATAAGCGATTCTTTTGTTTCTAAATTCAGAATAATGAATATCTAGCAGTACCTTGCAAACTGATCCTCTCTGCCTGTTAATATATTCTTCCAGTAGATTTTTACAAATCTATCCCTGTCCATTCTAGAATACAAATGCAAGTAGAAAACTTGCAATAAATTTGGACAAGTAGGCTCAATTTCAAATCAGAACATGAAAAAGTGTCACAGGAAAATTTGGAAGTCAAAAGAAAAATTATTTGAATGAAAATTTTGCATATAGAGGAGAAAAAGTGGCATAAGTAACAAATATTTGTAATACGAAAAAGGGGATGGCTAGAAATGGTATACAAAAATTATAAAAAGAGCTAAAATTTTTTTAAAGTTAGTTTTTTAAAAACGGTCGTTTTCAAACCGATCGTTTTTATAGACGAAAGTTTTTCAAATTGATCGTTTTTTATTAAGCTAATCGTTTTGTTGACGATCGTTAACGACGTCCCTTTGTTAACGATTGTTAGCGACTACCCTTCGTTAACCTTCGTTACCAATAATCCTTCGTTAAAAATAATTAATGAAGAGAGGAGAGAAGAGAAAAACCGCCCTTAAAGGCATCGGTACTTATCATTGAGCAGTTTTAGCTCCCCCACAACTTTTTACCTTCATGTAAGACGACATTTGATAAAGTTGCATGTACTTTTTTTCAGAAACTATCGCTTTTTCAAAAACGACAGTTTTTTTTTATAAATTTCATCGTTTCTTTAACGATTGTTAACGACAACCCTTCATTAACGATCGTTAACGACGACCCTTCGTTAAGAATCGTTAACATATTTAAACAGGGATATACTAGCACCTCTAGTCTAGTGTGAGAAATGTTTTTAAATATCTACATCTATCTGCTTCTGCTAGTACTCAAGTACATCTATTCTCTATCTACTTGTATCTATACAAGGATATACTAGCACCTAATCTACATCTATCTAATTCTGCTAGTATTCAAGTACACCTATTCTCTCTCTACTATACTTGTATCTATATAAGGATACACTAGCACCTAATCTACATCTATCTGATTCTGCTAGTATTCAAGTACACCTATTCTCTATCTACTATACTTGTACCTAGACAAGGATATACTAGGACCTAATCTACATCTATCTGATTCTGCTAGTATTCAAGTACACCCATTCTCTATCTACTATACTTGTATCTATACAAGGATATACTAGCACCTCTAGTCTAGTATTCAAGTACACCTATTCTCTATCTACTATACTTGTATCTATACAAGGATATACTAGCACCTAATCTACATCTATCTGATTCTGCTAGTATTCAAGTACACCTATTCTCTATCTACTATACAAGGATGTACTATTACAACTCTATTATATTTACCTTGATTGTTCATGCCATAGTCCGAGAGCATGAAGAAGTTCATGTACAACAATACCCTGGTGAACACAACCAGAGCCTAGAGACAAAACCTGTACACCGCCTCGTGAACCTGCAGTACACATACATGTACATTGTACGTGCACGCTTTTTTTGCACTATTTATTTATTTATCAGACCCTAAGTCCATGAACTTAGGCCTACAGTTTTTTTTAAGTGACATATTATATATATCTACATCACAATCCCCCCCAAACAAATTTCTCTGGGATGTTTGAATATTCAAAGAAAGAACGGAGACCACAGTTAATCCACTGTTTTCTCATTACCAGAGGCGCAACTAGGGGGGGCGGCCGGGCGCGCGCCCTCCCCTAGCACCTGAGAGGGGGGGGCGTGCCCCCCCCTGCAGAATGAAAAGAAAGAAAGAATGGCGAAAATCAGTATCACAGGAATAAGAAAACCAATAGAGTTATTGTAGAAATTTTATTATACTATAGTTAGTTTTAAAAAGAATATTTTTATCTTTCTCAATTCTCAAGGATAAAGGCTATTGTAAACATTTAACGTAAAAAAAAGTTCTGAATTGTATTTTATTTGTGTTGAGTTTATAGAGTACTCGTAGATATCAAACTTTGAATTCTTATGGTAAAATATTCCAAGTTTGAAATATCAAATGTTTACACCACTCGGTGCAAAGATTTAGGGATTAGAATATTTGAGTTTGTGGCAAAAACTCAGTTCCAAATCTAGAGAAAATTCTGAACCTGGCAAATTTCTAACTGATTATCATATTTGATAACTAACAAGATTTATCTTCTTTGACAGAAGTTCTGTAAAATCGAAAATGAATTTAGATTATGAATGTTGGTTAGATCAATCATTAATTCAATAACTTCAAGAGAAAAGGTAACATTATCTGTCCTTTTTCAATGTAGATGATTGAAATTATTATTTACCTATGTATTTTTATGTTTTTTTTTCCAGAAACTATAAATGATTATTTCTTGCAATTTAATCTGTAATTAAACCAGGTACTTAAAAAATACTCTTTTGCGATTCGCACACATATTCAATGAATTGACTCATATCATTCATTTTACAGCTGTTGGAAGTATAAATTTTGTAAAAACACAAGAACAAAAAATCGATTTGAATTGAACACAGCCAAATCTGCATGCAACAACTTAAAATTTCCTTTTTTTCGACTTCAAACCCTTAAAAAAGCATTTTTTTTGAAAAATTTTCGAAAAAGGGGCGGAAACCCCCATTCACCCCCCCCCCCAAACCCTAACAAAATAATATATTGCCCCCCCTAGCCAAAGTCCTAGTTGCGCCTCTGCTCATTACCTCTAAATATCATATGTATAAATAATAAATTTCTACAAGTTCTATTATACTATGTATTGTAGACTGTAGAACAATTATATTTTCTACAGGTTATCCAATGTAACACTCAAAGGATGATTTATAACAAGGTTATAATGCAAGGAAAGTGTATTGCAGTTGTGTATACTCTGCGTACATATTTAAACCAGTTCTCTATGGGCGGAATTCGTAAACAAGATAGATCAGAATAAATCAGTGTTCATCTAGTATCCGAGGAGGATTAAAGCATTTAATTTTGATAATTTTGATAATTCACATAACAGTTCCATATGACCAGAATATTTCATAGATTATTTTTGTGAAAATGGATTCCATGTCAGGCTGTGGAATACGTCTTGTGTTTACTTTTCCGTCCAAAGACAGTACACTGCAGTACAAAAAATGCGTACTCCTATGAAATAACTTTCCTCGCATTATTACCTTGATCTATAATGTCTGTTTTCCTTGTAAACTTGTTTCTTTTATTGCCAAATTATTACATAAGTTATCTATAAAAGATTAAACTGTAGAACAATCTTAAATCTAGTTTATGTAGTTTATTGGGACACCCTGTAGAACAATCTTAAATCTAGTTTATGTAGTTTATATATTCTATAAAGCTAACTTTAGTACAGGACTAACTCAACTATATGTATTCTATATCTTTAATAAAATATGTGTTTTTATCTTTTCTTTGTTTTTGTATCTCTACAATTTACATAATACATATTAAAGGATTTGTTCATATGAACTCGTTTAAAGGGATATTAGCTCGTATTAAAGAGGTTAAAGGGATTGTTCATAAAAACTTGCTTTCATGATTGTTCATAAAAACATGTTTAAAGGGGTTATTTATATTTGGTTCATATAAACTTGTTTAGATGGACTTTAAACAATTCTTAAACACGTGTTAATGCAATTTTTTGGACCAGCTTTGTTTTTATTTTAATAATTCCTATAGTGTATAATGTATATCTACCGAAGTGTCTGCTTTACCATATGTCCAATTTCGTAGTCGTGCTACCATAGTTAGAACCATAGTCACACCAAGGTAATAATGCAAGGAAAGTTAATTGCTTTTGCGTATTCTCTGCGTACATATTTAAACCAGTTCTCTCTGGGCGGGGTTCCTTTAGTATACGTGGTGGATAAAACCATTTAATTTTGATAATTTTGATAATTCACATAATAGTTTCCAATAACCAAAATATGTCATTGATTTTTTTTATGTGAAAATGGATCCCATGTCAGGCCGTAACATCCGTCTTGTGTTTACCTATTCCCTGGTGTTTACTTTACAGTCCAGAGACAGTACACTGCAGTGCAAAAAATGCGTACACTTTTGAAATAACTATCTTTACATTATAATTCTTTGAGTCACACTATGGTTACGCTATGGTTATAGAAAATCAAAATTAATATTAAAAGAAAACCAAATTATGAAATAGGCTGGTTTCATAATTGACCAATGATCATTTCACATAGACTCTATGCCTTTCACTTTACAAACGATGATTTTCCGTTATAACTATAAATCAAATGATGTTTTTTATTCACCTAATTCATTATACAGTTTATTCAACAGCTTTAAAAAATTCGAAGTTGAAATGGATAGTCATGTATTAATGTATTCTACTGCATATAATTTGCGAACATTTACATGATTTGTACACTTTGAACTCCCTTTCAGGCTGAAAGGGACTGAAAAATTCATACCGAGGGATTTTCTAAATTCCACTCTAATATATATTCTATTCTCTTTGGCTCTACCAGAGTAGTGAAGATAGAAAGATACGACCTATGGTAGCACGATTAAGACATTGGGCTCTAGATGGCAGCAGAGTATATCAAAATAAAACACACAATAAAACATTGAATTCAAAGGAACTGATCTGATATTCTGGTCTCTAAAATCTTTGCATCAAAATATCGGAGATCTTCGATATTAAAAACTAAGAATTCTGTTTGATCAAATAATCTAATTTTAAAATATCAACGGTTTTACCCAATTTTAGGTTTAAGAAATAGGGATAAGAAAATGTTAGTTGCAGCCCGATGTCCTGAACCGTTGATATTTCAAACTATGATATCTGCAAAATCAAAAGGGCAAATTTGAAAATCTTAAGTTTACAGGCTACAAACGGTTAAACTATTACTTTGTGGTGAGTAATCGCTTCCTTTACTTCACATATATTTCCTATACCTATAGAACTATAGCAGCCTGCTCCAGGGAGTATATGGATATAGTTCTCCTCGGATATCCTAGGTCGGATACTTAAACAGGTTTTCTGCTCCACCTCATTCAAACCCCTGAACAATTTTTCAATTTTAACTTTAAACTGTGAACTTTTTACTTTCACGGAATGGCGTTTAAATTTAGATGCAAAACTTGTCAATCAATGAATCAATATTTGATTTTTTATAGGATGAATATATAGATAGATGAAAGGATGAATAGGGAAATAGATTTATTAATAATTAGATAATTAGATGAATAAATGAATAAATGAATAAATGAATAAATGAATAAACGAAGAAATGAATAAATGAAAGGATGAATAAATAAATAAATGAATAAATGAATAAATGAATAAATGAATAAATGAATAAATGAATAAATGAATAAATGAATAAATGAATAAATGAATAAAGGAATAAATGAATAAATGAATAAATTAATAAATGAATAAATGAATAAATGAATAAATGAATACTAACCGTACAATAACCCCTCTCTCCCAAAAAGAATATCTCGATGATATAACATAAGGAACAACTGAATTTTCCCATCGTTTAACTGAAATACACAAATAAAAATAAAAATAAAATTTTTGACGCTTTTTAGACCTCACACTAAAGGTTCAAAACTAAATTTTTTCTTTCAAAGTTTTGGAATTGAATTATTGGGAAAAATATGCAATAAATGATAAACACTTCAAAAATAGTAACAACAACAAAATACTAGTTTTTGTAGCTTTTCTCAAAAGAGTTCATGATATACAGAACAGAAAGAATGGGACATAATCATTGTCGATCTGGAACATTTTATCATTTTGAAGGAAGACACTTTTAAAAAGTTTTTGAAAAACTTCCCAGCACCTAAACATGGAGTTAAGTGTTTAAAAATTTTAAAAAATAAGCTTAAAACAATGAAAAAGATATTTTTAAAAGTTAAAATAAAATATTATCAAGAAAAACATGATAATCTCTTAACAAGTTAAAATTGATTGATTTAAATCAAAATTATCATTATTGATTTCTGTTTTTGTTTTACTGATAATTTTTCCTTATAAATGTAAATTAAAGGAATTTTTTTTTACTTAAAAGAATATTTAAAAATTTACCTAAAAGTGCATTTTTTGAGACATTGTTTCCTTCCACCTCCAACCTTACCCCTGCTATATCTCCCTAGACAAAATGTAAAAATAATGTTTTAAAAAAAAATATAAATTTCAATTTTTCAAGTCATAAATCAGCATATTACAGAAGAACAGTCGCCCTTTGTTATCTTTAAATTAGAACTGTAGATTATTCTAGGTTTGAAATATAAAAGGTTTGCACCATCAGGTTACAAATATATAGTGATAAGAACATTTGACTTTGTGACAAAAACAAAGTTATGATTGTTAAAAATTACACCAAAAAAGGTTAAACAAAGACGACTCCTTAATTAATTGTTGAGTTTCATGTCAAAATCTGCAGATAAAAGAGAGAGATTTTTGAAACCTATCTTAATCTCTTTCTTTGCAGTGATTCACCTACTTACAAAAGGATGATAATTCCCATATTTTTAAAATGAGAATCCAAAGTTAGCCTTCCGTTTCAAATAAAGATGTCCCTGCCAGACAGAATTATAGATAATTATTGTAAAAACAATTGTTAATTTATCGAAAAGAACATTAATTATACCCTTTTAATAATTATCAACATTTTTTAAAGTACTCCTTTAAAAATGAAGCTCAAAACAAGCTTTCGAAATCGCAGCGCTTCAAAGTCGGCCCGGTCTTATCATTGTTGTGATCGAGTTCGGTTTTTACCTCGAGAAGATTATTATCCTGATCTAGGTTTGATTTAAGGAATAGATAATCATGGTTTCGAGGCCAGATATTCACCTCCCAATCTTCCAACGGATATCCTAATTATTCAAATATTAGTTTAAATCTCAAAAAATTAAAATTTCTATCTAATCTAACCAGTAGTATCTAGTATCTAACCTGTAGTATCTAGTATCTAACCTGTAGTATCTAGTATCTAACTTGTAGTATCTTGTATCTAACCAATAGTATGATAGTATCTATATCTAACCTGTAGTATCTAGTATCTAACCTGTAGTATCTAGTATCTAACTAGTAGTATCTAGTATCTAACCTGTAGTATCTATTATCTAACCAGTAGTATATAGTATCTAACCTGTAGTATCTAATATCTAACCTGTAGTATCTAATATCTAACCTGTAGTATCTAATATCTAACCAGTAGTATCTAGTATCTAACTTGCAGTATTAGTATCTAACATGAGTATTTAGTGTATAACCTGTAGTATCTAGTATCTTGCATGTTGTATCTAGTACCTAACCAGTAGTCTCTAGTATCTAACTAGTAGTATCTAGTATCTAACCAGTAGTATCTAGTATCTAACCTGTAGTATATAGTATCTAACCTGTAGTATCTATTATCTAACCTGCAGGATCTAGTATCTAACCAGTATTATCTAGTATATAACCTGTAGTATCAAGTATATAACCTGTAGTATCTAGTACCTAACCAGTAGTCTCTAGTATCTAACCAGTAGTATCTAGTATCTAACCAGTAGTATCTAGTATCTAACCTGTAGTATATAGTATCTAACCAGTAGTCTCTAGTATCTAACCAGTAGTATCTAGTATCTAACCAGCAGTATCTAGTATCTAACCTGTAGTATATAGTATCTAACCTGTAGTCTCTAGTATCTAACCTGTAGTATATAGTATCTAACCAGTAGTATCTAGTATCTAACCAGTAGTATCTAGTATCTTATCTGTAGTATCTATTATCTAACCAGTGGTATCTAGTATCTAACTTGTAGTATCTTGTATCTAACCAATAGTATGATAGTATCTAGTATCTAACCAGTAGTATCTAGTTTATAACCTGTAGTATCAATAACCAGTAGTTTCTAGTTTCTAACTTGTAGTATCTAGTTTCTAACCTGTAATATCTAGTGTCTCTAACCAGGAGTATTTAATATCTAACCTGTAGTATCTAGTATATAACCTGTAGTATCTAGTTTAGCTAAATCTTCCATCCAGTCCGTATTTTCCTCCACAGCAAACATTATCTTCTCTTCAGGAAGATTTGGAAGATGAGGGAAAAAATCTTCTTTTTCATCGGAGTCTACATTGTTAATTCCTTGCCGGAAACTCTGATTTTATAATCCCTATATCTTTGAAACCTGATGGTTTACCCCTTCAAACTTTGATCTAATATAATTCATAGTTTGAAATATCACAGGTCTACGACATTGGGTTTAAAAGATATAAGGATTAGACAATTTGAGTTCATGGCAAAGACTCAATTTATTTAATTTAATTAAGTGAGAAGTTTTTGAACTACTTTGACTAAGATAAAATCACGTTTCTTGAACTGGAACCGGAGCATTGGAGAAGTAGTTCAACTCATGACTTATCGCGATTCATTAGATTTGATCCCAGGATTACAAAATCTTGCCTGTTACATTTTACATTTTAAAATCTTAGAAATTAAATAATTTACCTTTTTCAATTATAATTTGTGATTCTACAGGATTACAAAGGGATTCTCTGAAAAAAGGTTTTTTACCGTTCAGTTATATGTATCTGTATCTGTATCTGTATCTGTATCTGTATCTGTATCTGTATCTGTATCTGTATCTGTATCTGTATCTGTATCTGTATCTGTATCTGAAGCTGTACTTGTACCTGTACCTGTACCTGTACTTGTGTCTGTATCTGTATCTGTATCTGTATCTGTATCTGTATCTGTATCTGTATCTATATCTGTATCTGTGTCTGTATCTGTATCTGAACCTGTATCTGTATCTGTATCTGTACCTGTACCTGTACCTTTACCTGTACCTGTACCTGTATCTGTATCTGTATCTGTATCTGTATCTGTACCTGTACCTGTACCTGTACCTGTACCTGTACCTGTAACTGTACCTGTACCTGTACCTGTACCTGTACCTGTACCTGTACCTGTACCTGTACAGAAAAAGAAGGAAAGTAAAGAGTAATAAAGTCCTCGCTCCAACTAGAGAAAGCATTGCTTAAAAACTAGAAATCTGAAAAGCAAATTTTGAGAATATGTTTGAATAGCAATTTGAAAAAAGCTGAGCGCTGAAGCCAACCTCCACTTCTAACTTTATGGAGTGAATGATCTACAGATTTTGGCAATGGATTTATGATAATAATTTAGTGTGTGAATTATTATTGTCATAAATTTAAATTAAAATCTTAAAATGGGCAATTATAAACTTCGACTATACACACACATTGAATCAGAAAGCTCCCGAAATTTTTAAATCGCGGGCTCACTATACTTTCATTATAAGTAAATATTTCCATTCACTGATAGCGCCAATTGAAGGGTTCATATCTCTAATGATAATGAGATGGATAGTAAGATAGATGTTACCGCCATATTCTTTCTATTGGTTCAGAATAGACAACAAACACATGCCTAAACCCTGATTGGATCAGGCGCCAATGGACTCGGCATACAGGAGTGGGCTCAGATAGATATTTTTGATTCATCTTTTTTGTGACTGACTTCAATTAAAGTTAGTATAGAGTCTAAGCACGTCTTCTTGTAAAATTTAATTCTCAAGAAACTTCGAAAAATATTTTGAAATCTTTTTTAATTAATTTCTTATTTTTACTGTCAAAACATTTTTCTTAAGTTTTATGAGATATTGTGCTGGAGTTTTCTATTTTAAGTTTTAGTTGGGTAGGGTTTGAAGGTTTCTTAATCTTACATTAATAGAATGAAAAAAGTTGATTTAAACAATACATTACAAGATATGTTTGGGCCAGTTTCTTATCATTCTCCAGTTTTTTGAGAATTTTGCATCTTAAATATTTATGGTTTTGCGTGACATATTTAAACTAAATGACTGTTTCGCGTTTAAAATTGGCGATACATTTTCTCTATAGCCATATGCTCTATAGATGTATAGCATACTCTAGCCGCCGCGTTGAACTATGCTATCAGATTGATATAGCAATCTCCAACTGTATCAAAGTGTTCGATAGGTTAAACTGTTTCCGATTGGATTGAACTACTCTAGGTGTTTGTCTTGAACGGTAGAGCCCTGAGTACTGATCAATGATGAATAGTACCCTGAGTAAACTAAACCCATCTTATCTTCTAACCAAATCTAAATGAACCTGCACAAGAAAACAAATAGCTTAAAAAGAGAATGTAGGGCACTAAAGACAATTACGTAATATTAAGCGTGTCTTAAACGATTCACATTGATTCCCTAAAAAGTTTTAAAAATTAAAAAGTTGTATAATTTACAAAATAAAGAAACAAGGATGATTACGATGATTCTCAGAAAAATAGTTCTATCATAGAAAATGAAAAATTGTTATTAAAGAAAATGGAAATATTCTGAAATGAGTTCATATACAGGGATTCCAACAGTGAATGAGACTTTAATGGCGATCCAAAAAACTTTTAAAAATCAAGATCTAAAAATGGATTTTGTCTACTGCCTTAGATATAATAATTTATTGATACGTTAAATGATTTATCAAAGAGAGAAACAGGTTGACAGCTGCAGTCACCAAAAATGTACAAAAAAAAACTATTAAATTCCGTAGAGTGTAGTTTCTAAAGTCTCATTCTTTGTGCATCACCCTGTATTTGAGAGAAAGGTTTAAGAGGAAAGAGAGAGAGCTATAAAACTAACATTATCCCTCATAGTGTGATTTATGGTTTAAACTGTAATCTTCGTTCTGATTTATAATCATATATGTATTTGGAGTTAAGCTTCAACCTTTCATTCTTCATACATACTCATCCATATTCACTCATCCATATACATCTATACTCATCTATATTTACCCATCCATATACATCTATACTCATCCATATTTACCCATCCATTTACATCTATACTCATTCATATTTACTCCTCCATATACATCTTTACTCATCCATATGTACTCATCCATATACATCTATACTCATCCATATTTACATCCATATGCATCTATACTCATCCATATTTACATCCATATACATCTATACTCATCCATATTTACTCAACCATTTACATCAATACTCATCCATTTACATCGACACTCATCCATTTACATCTATACTCATCCATATACATCTATGCTCATCCAATTACATCGATACTCATCCATTTACATTGATACTCATCCATTTACATAATACTCATCTATTTACATTTATACTCATCCATTTAAATCTATGCTCATCCAATTACATCGATACTCATCCATTTACATCTATACTCATCCATTTACATCTATACTCATCAATCCACATCTATGCTCATCCAATAACATCTATACTCATCCATATACATCTATGCTCATTCAATTACATCGATACTCATCCATTTACATTGATACTCATCCATTTACATCGATACTCATTCATTTACATTTATACTCATCCATTTACATCTATGCTCATCCAATTACATCGATTCTCATCCATTTACATCGATACTCATCCATTTACATCTATACTCATCCATCCACATCTATGCTCATCCAATAACATGATACTCATCCATTTGCATCTATGCTCATCTATTTACATCGATACTCATCCATTTACATCGATACTCATCCATTTACATCTATACTCATCCATCCACATCTATGCTCATCCAATAACATCGATACTCATCCCTTTACATTGATACTCATTCATTTACATCGATACTCATCCATTTACATTTATACTCATCCATTTACATCTATGCTCATCCAATTACATCGATTCTCATCCATTTACATCTATACTCATCCATCCACATCTATGCTCATCCAATAACATCGATACTCATCCATTTGCATCTATGCTCATCTATTTACTTCGATACTCATCCATTTACATCGATACTCATCCATTTACATCTATACTCATCCATCCACATCTATGCTCATCCAATAACATCGATACTCATCCATTTACATCTATGCTCATCCATTTACATCTATGTTCATCTATTTACATCTATGTTCATCCATTTACATCTATGCTTATCCATTTTCATCTATACTCATCCATTTACTCATCATTACTCTATACTTAACTATATACTTCAATATAAAACCTTCTTATTGGTACACATCCAATTCATACTGAATTATAAGCGAGAACCGTAGAACTGTTTCATGTGAAGACGAAATTAATGCAATAATTGATGGTATTTGATGTTGTTAAAAAGCAAATGGTTTTACTAGTAACATATTAAATCAATTGTACAGTGTAATGGGTCGGTTAACAACGCAACAGTTGTTGTGTCTCATGTTCATTGGACTATATAAAATCATAACTTGAATCTAAAAAGTCTAAAAGTCGTCTTCCTATTCAAGAATTTTCTAGCTCTCACTGTATATTTACCTTAACTCTATACTCGGATTTACTGATTCGTAACTATTCATCCCTATTTACACATCTATCTCATTCAAAGAAATTGTCATTAAGTTCATTAAAAAGTCGAGTTGGGGGATATTAAGCTTGTTTAATGATCAGTCTGTGATCAGTTTATTTAAATGTTAGTTATCATCCATGTTTACATTCTTATTTAGCATACTAACTACTCTAATCCCTATACCCTCGTGGTGTCTGTTGAATATAGATTAAGAAATTAGAGAATTCCTCCTGCACAACCTTCGTTCCTGCTCTAGGCAGGGGTCGCCGAGCCGCCATGAGCCCCACGGAGCCTCCTGATTTGCAGAAAAACTTCCAAGCTCCTGAAAACGAACTCTGTCCTTCTCGCTACGTCTCTGTGCCTCTGCAAAGGCTTTTGGTGGATGTATAAGCCAAGTATTTTAGATTGGAGATCATAATACTGGACGCGGAGACAGAATTGCAGAGGCTCGGAAACGTAGCTAGTGACACGTACATGGTTTTTTGTCGATTGAAGCACGTACATAGTTTTGTGGGATTTGGAGGTCACACTGCAAATCAGAAGGCTTTGGAGACCATATCGTGAGGCTCATGGCGGCTCTGCACCCCTCCCTACCGGCTCCGGGTCTGATAAACAACAGAGAGTGTAATTAGTTGATTAACCCTGAGTAAGGTTTAGTATTCCATGGAACTGTTCTAGGTTCCTTGTCTCAGCAAGATTCTACTCTGAGTACTAATCACTACACAGTATAGGGGGATTCTAATACATGGACATCACGAGAATTTCCCTGGAAGCTTCTGGTTCATTTGGTGTACAGTCCCGTTATGCCAGGTATAATCTGTATGTTTACTGTACAGCTGTACTGTAGATGTCGATTCTGTTCTTGAAAATGGTTTTTAATTAAAAAAATTTCCAATCTTTTGTATATTTACGATGTTTTACAGGGAAGAGTTCTATCATTAATCTGGCAAAAGAGCCCAATGTTGAGCGTACAATACTTCAAAATAATATTTCTGCATCTTCTCTTTCAGAGCTACTCTTTCTACTATTGGTGTATTATACAGGGTGTCCCACGAAACATGACAGTTGGTGAATAATTTAAAATGTCTTCTTCCATAATTACTTAAGTTGTTTGATACCAAAGAGAATTATAAGAATATTTAATTGAAACCATATTATAGTAAAATTGATTTCAAAGTATAATATATTTTAGTAAAAGATTTTATTAAACGAAAAAAAATACAAAAAGTCTTTAATATTCATTACAGTATAGGGAAGAGGACATTCCAAATTATTGTCATGTTTCGTGGGACACCCTGTAGTACTGTGGCCACCTTCTACAGTAATAACGAGGACACTTTTCTGTTAATAATACTTTGATCAATGACAAGCGCTTTTCAAATTGTAAGTTTACAATTAGAGAAGCTGTTAATGGAAACTTCTATTTGTTTACATGATTATGTTTCTTTACTGTTTGAAAGCTTTGTAGAGATAGAAATTGAAATAGAAAGTCGTCTTCATTGTATTGATATATATGACGACAAACTAAAGATAGGAGTTCCGGCGGAGTTACTGATAAAGGAGATTTAGCTTTAATTGGAAGACTAAAGAATATCCTCGAGCACAAGAGTCCTTGATCAAAACCAGGACTATCAGAGATACT